TAACCAAATAATTTTGCATTATAGATGGCTGAATCTTTTAGAGCAATTCGATAAGATAATATTTCTTTTGCCAAACTTAAATTTAAAAGAACAAAAACTGTCCGATGAAGGAGTACTTAGTATTAAATTTCTTACGTTGGATAAAACATTAATACTGCAGGGTACATCCATGTCTCTGTATCCCAAAATGAATGGCCTACAATTATAGAGGGGAGATCGAAACTTTCTTGTTGTTTCTACACAAAACTAGCTCCCATAGGGATCAGATACATCATTTTATTCTAAATTTTACCTCCATAATCTTCTCCTAATTTTCCACCTCTGCTAAGACTTCCTGGACTAAGTCCATAAAATTGTTTTTTATCTGATTTTGTGTTTAATGCTGGAAGTGAACTCAATAAATAATAATATGCACTATTGATTTGACGTTGCAATTCAACATTATCAACTTCAATTCGACCACTAGACCAAACTTTCATCCAAGCATCTACTTGATTATCGTACAGTTCGATTGAACGTCCTTGTGAGATTAACTCAGTTGCTGCAAATGAAAATCAACATAAAATAAATGTTGCTGTTAATAGTACAAAACTCATACCATAGTCGAAACTTTTCTTGGCATTCTGTTGATTTGTATCCATTGATGATACGTGTACAAATACTTTTGTTGTTTCAGTTTCATCCAATTCAAGACCAGCATGAGGTAGTGGTGTATAATAGATATAAACTTTTAATTTTTCATCTTGAAATTGATTATCTTCAACTTCTTTTGTTGTACCATCAAAAAATCTATAGTAAATAGAAATGGTATAGATCTATTATTAATGATAAGAAGTCCTAAATTATAATCTTCAATATTCAACAGTTTTAGAATCGATTATTTTTTTGTACTAAAGATGCTTACACGAAATCGTTATTTCTTGATACTTTGAAATCAAAATCATCGCTCGCAGTTTCTTCAGTGATAATAACGGGGATATTTATACTTCCTACGAAAGAATGTAGTTTTTTTTGACATATAAAAGCTATAGTAAGGCGAACAAAGATTTTCGACATACCAAAACTAGATTGTTTTCGTGTGATTTGAATATGTGATATAATTAATTCATTGTATTCTTGATAAGCAAATATTTTTCGTTCAATTATAACGTGATCATCTTCAAGATGTTCTGTGAAGACACCTGAAAAATCAATGAGATGAGTAAGATTTGTAAATTTAACTTTAAGGGTAACACTCTCGTTTTTCACCTTGTTGGCAAATG